CGGCCAAGACTTGGCCTTTGATTGCTGTTCTGGGTCTGTATTCTAGGTCATACTGGCCCAAGGCTACTGCCCATCTGGCTATCCTGCCTGTCAGATCTCCCTGTTATAACAGGGACTTCAAAGGATGTTCAGTTAGCACCACAATTTTGTGGGTTTGAAAGTAATGGTTCAACTTCTTTGAAGCCATTACTAATGCCAGCGCCAACTTCTCTAGGGGTAAATACCTGATTTCTGCATCAGCCTGGGTTTTGCTTACATAGTAAACAGCTCTTTGCTCTCCTTTTTCTTCTCTGATTACCACTGCGATTATCGCGTGCTCTGAAATTGCTAAGTACAGGAACAGCTCCTCTCCAGGTTCTAGATTTGAGAGAACTGGAGCCGTGGTCAAATACTTCTTTAAGTCGGCCAGGGCGACTTCACACTCTTCTGTCCATAAAAAGTCTGTGGCCTTCTTCACTAAGTTGAAGAAGGGTTTGCATTTGTCAGAGCTTCTGCTTATGAACCTGTTCAGGGCTACAGCCCTTCCAGTCAGTATCTGCACCTGTTTTGCCGACGTCGGGCTCTTTAATTCTAAGATGGCCTTAATCTGATCTGGGCTGGCCTCAATGCCCCTTCTTGTCACCAGGTATCCTAAGAACTTACCAGATCCAACTCCAAATGCACACTTCAATGCATTGAGTCGGAGCCGATATGTTTTGAGGATGTCAAAGACTGCTTTTAGGTCAACCAGATGACCTTCAGGTTCCTTGGTCTTCACGACCATGTCATCGATGTAAACTTCTACTGTTCTGCCAATTAGATGTTTGAACATCTTGGTTACCAATCTCTGGTAAGTTGCTCCGGCATTTTTCAACCTAAAAGGCATTACTCTGTAGCAACACAACTTTTTTGGGGTGATAAACGCAGTCTTCTCCTCATCTGGCGGATCCATCGCTATTTGATGGTACCCCTTGTAGGCATCCAGGAAGCTCATTCTTCCATGCCCTGAAGTGGCATCCACCAGTTGGTCAATCTTGGGTAAAGGAAAACTGTCTTTAGGACATGCCTTATTTAGGCTGGTAAAGTCCACGCAGACCCTCTATTTACCATTCTTTTTCTTCACCACCACTATGTTCGATAGCCATGTCGGGTAATTTACCTCTCGAATAGCTCGGGCCTCTAGAAGTCTGTCTACTTCCTCTTCCACTGCCTCAACATGCATCAACGTCGGTCTTCTTGCCCGTTGGATTACAGGTTTGGCCCACCTGTCGACGTTCAGTTTATGGCAAGTGACCTCGGGGTCAATGCCTGGCATTTCGTAAGGCGTCCAAGCAAATACTTCAATGTTTGCTCTCAAGAAAGCCTCTAGTTCTTTTTCCTCTTCTTCGGCTAAGCTCGAGCCGAGAAGGAAGAAGCGTTCTTCATCCCCCTACTGGACGAGGATTTTCTTTAGGGCTTCTTCACTCTTCTCGGCTGGCTCCTTGCCGACATTCTCTAGGACCTCTACGTCCTCATCTTCGATCTCTACCTTTTCTGGTTCTCATATGCTGCAGATGGATTTCATTCCTGCCATGGAGCAGTTCTTTGCCTGCAGCTGATCCCCTCTGACCTCTTCTATCCCATGCTCTGTTGGGAACCGCAGTAGCTGATGCAATGTTGAGGGAACAACTCCCATTGCATGCAACCATGGCCTTCCCAAGATAATATTGTAAGGGAAAGGTGTGTCGATTACGGTGAACTCTGTCTTTATCTTCTTGGTGCCAGCCTACACTTCCAAGCTTGTTGTGCCCAACGGCTATGTCGGCGTTCTATTGAACCCGACCATTGGGCCATTGGATTGCTCCATATCGTCTGGGTGAAGGCCCAGCTCCTTGTAGCATCTGACATACATGATGTCACATGAACTGCCTTGGTCAATTAGGATGCGCTTCACTTAGCACTCCCCAACCTGGAAGGATACTACTAATGCATCGTTGTGCGGATGTTGGACCATCTCCAGGTCAGCTTCGGTAAAGGATACTACTGGTCCTTGGGACTCCTCGGCTCGGGGTCTTTTCTCTCGAACCTGGTACACATGTTGTAAGTGTTTCACCTTCTGGGTCTCCCCCCGTATTTCGTTTTCGTTGACCTTCGAGTGAATTACATTAATTACCCGAGGTTCGCTTGGCTGAAGCTGCTATGCTAGGAGAGGTGGAGCTGCTAGTGCCTGAGGCAATCTTGCCTATTCTTTCCTTGTCCTGGCCTCATCTACAAGGTCCCTCAGATGGCCTTGCCTTACCAGGTCTTCTAGGTGTGACTTTAAGGCTCTGCAACCCTGAGTCAGATGCCTATCTTCATTATGGTAAGCACAATGCTTACCAAGGCTCCTTCCCATAAACTCTCCTTGTACCTTGGTTGGTGCTCTGAAGTAGGGTTGGGTTCGGATTTTATCCAAGACTTTGTGAATTGGGATTCGGAACACAGTTGTGACTGCTTGAGCAGTTCTTAGTCCTATCTCTTGTTTGTTGGGTCTGTTGTTACCACGACCTCGCTTCGGCGAGCCGTTTGCCTTCTCTTGCTTTGTCGCCTTAATCCCTGGCGTGTCTTCCTCGACACTGGCGTATTTCTCAATCCTAGCCATGAGCTCCTCCATGCTTTTTGGCAAAGTCTTTGCCAATGACTTTCATAGTGCACAATCATCTTTTAGGCCGTTCTTGAAAGACACGACCGCCACCTCATAATACCTTTTTGCATAGGCCCTAAGGCCTTCATCCTCACTGATTCTCAGAGCCATCAGGGCGTCCACCCTTAATGGCTGCAGCTTGTTTGTCACGAAACCTGCGCCACGAAAACATCTCAGCAAGGCCTTCCCAGGTCTTCATACTTCCTTTCGGTAATTTGTGAAACCAGTTCGATGCAATCTCCTCGAAGGATGAAGAACACCTTGCAGAGCAACGACTCGTTCCCGGTGTACAGTGCCATCGAGTTCAGGTATAATCCGACGTGAAAGTTGGGGTCTGACTTTCCCATCGTATATCTGGAACCTCAGGCATACTGAATCTTTTTGGGCCTCAACTTTGTCTAACTCTACCGAGGAATGGTGTTCTCGGTTTAACTGGGGAAGTTACCTCGGCATGCTCTTACTTCCTCTTGAGGTAATCTCTCAAGTCCTCTTTGTTCGCCCAGGAGCTCGGCTATCTCCTGATTTTAGTCTTTTAGGTGCACTACTTTCAGTTTTTTGTGAGCCCTTTATGACCTTTCTCCATTGGTCGCATCGAAGCACAACCCCTGCCTTTGAACATGCGATGTTCTCTGGGGTCTGCCTCTGGTGCGATTGGTCTTTCGAGATTCTTCCCTTCTTGGCTCTCCTCGCCTGACCTCCCTTGAAGGCCGGTGAGAATTCTCTTTCGCTCCTGGCTGGCTGGGGGCTACAGAGATTGTTTTCTGCCCTCTTCTGGCATTGGTCACTGAATCGTGTGTCCTACAGCAGGAATGGTGGCTGCATGACGTTATTTTGCATCATGAAATTGACCATTGTTTGTAGGTCCGCCAATTTGTTCGCCATGGTCTTTACCTCATTGTCCTTCCGCAAGCATCTTTCTTTCCATACCTAGAGGTTATCTTCGTTATAGTACCCGCTTTGGTCTGTTTTCTTTGGTACGTCGCCTTCCTGGCCGATGTCTTTCACTCCGTGATTTTGGTCACAAGTTTTTTCATTACAATTGTCTTCTTCGACATTAAGGTCAATAGGTCTCCCATTCCCAGTAGGAGTGTTATCCCCAATCTTTTCTTTCTGTCCGTCGTTGGCTATCTGTTCTTCTTTGTTCCCACAGACGACGCCAAATTATGTGAGTGAATTTCTGACCACACTGCCAACTCAGTATTCAACTGGAGAGCACTGGAAGAATAGGATAAGCCCGAACGACCTGCAACAAGAAGAAGAGATTCCAACGGTGGCTCATCCACTCGGGGGCACTCCGATGATTAAGTCAGTAATCAAATCTCTCTCAAAGATAATCAATAGTGCTTAACTCACTGTTCTGAATATAAATTGTGTATCTTAGACCCATGTGGGTGCCTCTCTTTTATAGTTAACCCAATCTTAGTCCCAATAGAAGCCTAGCCTTAATGGACTTCTGCTCAACGCTTATCCTGGACTCTCCAGTAGATAAAGATAAACTCCCTCAGAGCTTTATCCTTATCCAGGATAAAGTCCTTCCTCGTTCTAGGACTCTTGTCCCTTATCCGCTTATCCCGGATTTCGATATCTTCGGAGATAACCTCGGCCTAGCCTAGATAACCTCGGCGTCACGACCAGGACATATGGCATCTCGGCTGACACGTCGGCGTCCCCTTGGCCACGTGTTGGTACTCAGAAAATATATCCCCACAGAAGGTTTACCGAGCATGATAGCAATAGGGACATCAACATGCAACGTTTTCATGACAAAAGAAAATCTACCCGGAAGGTTGAAGACTTTCGAGTGAATCTTGTTTTAGCCTCTTATGATGATAAAGAAACCTTGAGAAGTAAGTTGGCGATGCCACTTATGATTATAAAGATGCCTTCCAAAAATGATATTGATTTTTCCTTTTAGTCTTTTTGTTTGTGATTCTAGCCTTCTTGATGTAAAAGCAGTTGTGATTTATTATGTTCTATAGTCATTGGGAAGTCAGCTTTTATGTCACACATATATATAATGCTAAATCTTTTAAAATGTTGTGGAATTTTTTATTATTTATTATTGGTTTTTGGAGGAATATTTGTTGGAGGTTGGAAAATGATTACACTGATGGAGAATGCATATGCTTCATTTTATCTCATTTCCCCTTTTCCTAAATGCTGATCTCCCCATGTTGCTTATTGTTTGATTTCTTTGGAGAACATGCACATGCTTTATTTTATCTCACTGCTTTGAAATTCAAAAATGTCAGCTTGTCTCTTATGGTTTTCAGTTAGATTGCTGCCACATGTTGAATAAGCTTGCTATACTCTTATTTCTTAACTTCTTTTGTTTGTGGTTTGTTTAATATCATTCCAGGCATGTACAAGCAAGAGTTCATTTTCTGTGAGCAAGTGAACGAGAGGTTGCATAGTTCAAATGATTACCAGGCATTCTTGAAGTGTCTTCATATTTACAGCACAAAAATAATCACAAAAAAGTATTTACAAAGTTTTGTATGTGAGATCCTTTCTATCTATCTATCCTGGTGGCGATTTTATTCTTTTGCATCTATAGAACTACTAACTGTTCCATTTACAAACAAGAACTTGGGTTAACAACCCTTATTGAATTTGCACTATTGATTTCATATGGTGTTCAGTTGTAAATTTTTATCAAAAAATTAGTTGTCCAAGTACTACAAATGTTTTTAATATATAGAAGAAGTAGAAATATTAATTGGTTTACATTTTTTTTCTTCATAATAATAAAGCTAACAGTTTCTTTTTTCTCTAGTTGCTCGTCAAACTTGCCATTCTAAAGTGCAGAATTTATGTCATGATTTATAATTGTGAATGGAGGAGTATAACTATTTAATTCTTTTATTTTTTGACTGCATGGTTTAAGTAAAGTAAAAATTTTAAGCAGCAATTCGTAAATGATGGATAGATAGTTTGTAAGTCAATTGGTCACAACATGTATACCATCAAATCTCTTATCTTGTGAACAAACACAATGTCTAAATTTCTTATAATTTCAAAGTTTTGACTAGTTGTTTCATTGTCAATGCTTGAGTTAAATAGGATGATGTAATCTGTTTATTCATTCATTTGAGTAGTTAAGGTCATTGGTTTTAAAATAAATTTGCACATCTGTCACATGTATATAGGATTTATTAGAATAACAAACTAATTAATGACTTTATGCTCTGTTTAAATTAATGACTTTATGCTCTGTTTAATTAATGATTTTATGGTTTCATAACTTTCATTATTTGTGTGTTGTTCCTATATGCATACCACATGTTATATAGCTGCTGATTTGAGAAGATTTAAATAATATAATCTTACAGTTAGGAAATATTTCTAGATTATTTTATGATCTTTATTTCCAAATTTGTATATCTTATCTGTGACTTAGGTTAGGGAGAGGGAACTGAGTGGAATGCCTATTCCTTTTGAGTTTGAGGATTGTGATAGTGATGATTTCAAGGATCTTTTGATGAATGAGACTCCTTCAAGTATTATTTATTGAGCAAAAGTGCTTGCAGGCCTCTTGGAAGATTAGTATATGACAGAGACTCATTACTTGTTTTCCTGATGAGTGTGTTATTCTTTTGCATGCGTTATTACCATGATTTCACTGCAGACTCGCTAGCCAACCATGCAGCAGTTTTACTGTCATTCATTATTTTCCTCTGTTTGTTCTTGCTTTAGAAGGCTCTCTTGTCTCCTTGTGCTTTCTACATTGGGTTTGTCTGATGTAGTTTCATACAACTTCAACCTATATAAAATTTAGACAAACTCTTCAATTCAATATTAGATTTTTTTTTTAAATAGCTTTATTAATGTTGATAGCAATTGATGATGGTGTGTAGCATTTTGGGCATCCTTCTGAGGATGATGATCATGATATTGTTTCTAAGGATGATAATCATGATAAGATTTTACAGCTATGTAATATAATGATTAAGTGATATTTCTGAAATTTCACTTGGATACACAATTATGATTTTGTTTCTGAACTCATAAGCTAGCAATTGCATTTAAAAAGTAGTGATGTGTTTCATATTTGATTATTCTTGTAGATTTACTTTCAGTCGTTTTTTGTTGCCCCTCCCAAAATATCCTTCTTGGTTATGTGTTCTTATGATATAATATTTACTAGCATGAAATGAAACAGGCAAGTGGGTGACACGGGAAGAGGCATTTGCTACATCTGAAACTTCTTCAAATTCAACTAAAAAAAAAACCCAGGTGGTTTATCTTTGCATCCCATTTATCTTGTTGCAGGATTTCATATTAATTGATATTTGATTACAATTTGGATTGTATGTGGATTTTGTGGAACAATTTGGAGTACTCTGTTTTTTCTTATTGTACTTGTCATTGAGTTTGGTTTAATCTCTACATCACATTTCTCTTTTTGCAAGATTTCATATGAATTGATAACAATTTGGAGTGCATTTGAATTTTGGTAAACTTAAAGTACTATGTATCATTATATCTTCCTCTTCTCATTACATCATTCTTATTCAGCTAATTGCTCGAGATGATCAGATGTGTAGCTCTCTTTAAACTATCTTCATTGCTATTCATCAAAATGTTTGTGCCTAATTTATCTTCATGTTATATAATGCCCTTAAGACTATTTGTTTATATGAAGCTCTAGTATTTTTGAACTTCTTGTTTAATCTTAATTCCTAAAATGCTTTGTCCCTTTTACAAATGCTGAATGATATGAAATTGAGAGTAAACAAAAACAGAAAACAAGATAGCAAACAATCTTCAAGTTGGCACGTTCCTCCGCTTTGTTTTCAGAATTCAGACAATAGTTACTATTTGATTTTGCTTACTTTTTTACTTTGAGCTTCTGAAAGTACAAACAAAGCTTTGTACAACTTTGAATTCAATCAAACCGAGATTTCTTTAGTTGTTCTAAAAAAAAAAGCAAAAGAAAACCAAACAATTGGTTTACTTTGTCGAAAATGCCTTAAACTTAGTAGGAAAAAGGCATTCGGAGGGGCAAAAATACAAAAAAGTCCCCCGAACCACTCCATGGATGTCACGGGAAGCTTTCTCATGAAAAATAGAACCCATAAGGACAGATGACATGTAATTAGCACACGTAGGTTAGGAGTTAGAGTAAAAAATGGCTTAAACTTAGTTGAAAAAAGGCGTTCTGGGGGCGAAAATGAAAAATTGTCCTCGAACCACTCTATGGATGTCACAAGTAGATTCCTCATGACAAATAGAACATGTGGGGATAGACGGCATGTAATTAGCACACGTAGGTTGGGAGTTAGAGTCAAAAATGCCTTAAACTTAGTCGAAAAAAGGAGTTCATGAGATGAAAATACAAAACAGCTCCCAAACCGCTCTATTGATGTCACGGGCAGCTTTCTCGTGAAAAATAGGACCTGTGGGGATAGATAGGATGTAATTAGCACAAGTAGGTTGGGAGTTGGAGTGAAAAATGCCTTAAACTTAGTCAAAAAAGGTCGTTCGAGGGGCGAAAATGCAAAGTAGTCCCTAAATCACTCTATGGATGTCACAGGTAGCTTCCTCGTGACAAATAGAACCTGTGGGAACATACATGATGTAATTAGAACACGTAGGTTGTGAGTTGCAGTGAAAAATGCCTTAAACTTAGTCGAATAAGGCCTTTCGGGGGGCAAAAATCCAATGTAGCGTCCGAACCACTCTATGGATGTCATAGGTAGCTTTCTCGTGACAAATAGGACCTGTGGGGGACATACGAGATGTAATTAGCACATGTAGGTTGGGAGTTGAAGTGAAAAACTACACTTAGTCGAAAAAGGCCGTTCAGGGGGCGAAAATGCAAAGTAGCCTCTGAACCACTCTATGGATGCCACGGGTAGCTTCACCGTGACAAATAGGATCTGTGGGGATAGACATGATGTAATTAGCACACGTACATTGAGAGTTGGAGTGAAAAACGCCTTGAACTTAGTTGAAAAAGGCCATTCGGGAGGCGAAAATGCAAAGCAGCCCCTGAACCATTTCAATGATCTCTCAGTTCATTGAAACATTACAATGATCGCTAGCCACACAAAAATAGTTTCACTCAAATTGTTGTTCCATCTATTTTGATGGTGTTAGTTATGTGGTCAGATCTATGTCTTGAAACTTACTATTAAATTAACAAGAAGTCTAAAGACATAGAATCGAATACAAAACAAAACACACGAAATTATTATCACCAAACACATCCCTTCAAGAATGAAATGTAAGTTAATTTTTGTTTTTCATTTCTATTTCCATTTTATTTTTAATTTACTCTCTAAATTCATGATTTAAATACGGTGAAAAGATACATATTGGCATTAGCAAGTGAAATTATCATATGTAACAGGTGCACCTTCTTACACAGATAAACTCCACATATGTAAAATTAGAGGTGACTCAATCATTAGACCACTTAGTCTATTGCTTAAAATTTTTAAAAATTCTTATTGGTGAAAGTCTCATATTTTTTGAAGGCCATGAAATAAGATGGGAGAATTGCAAATACAACCAATTTATGCCTTGAATTATGTAACTAGGTCTTGTACTTCCATCTCCTTGTAATTACTTTGAGTTTATATCATTAGAGTTGAAAATGCATTAAACTTAACCGAAAAGGGCATTAAGGGGGCGAAAATGCGAAATAGCCCATGAACCACTGTACGGATGTCACGTCCACCTTCCCCATGACAAATAGGACCTGTGACAATAGACGGAATGTAATTAGTATGTGTAGGTTGGGAGTTAGATCCGAAAATGCCATAAACTTAACCAAAAAAGTGCGATAACGGGGCGAAAATGGGAACAGCCCCCGAACCATCATACAGATGTCACGGCCACCTTCCTTGTGACAAATAGGACCTGTCACAATAGACGAAATGTTATTAGCACACGTAGTTTGGGAGTGAGAGCTGAAAACGTATTAAACTTAACTGAAAAATGGCAAGAGGGCAAAAATGTGAAACAGCCCCCGAACCATCGTACGGATGTCACAGCCTCCTTCCCCACCACAAATAGGAACTTTGACAACAGACGAAATGTAATTAGCACATGTAGGTTGGGAGTTAGAGCCGAATATGCCATAAACTTAATCGAAAAAGGGCGTTTCGGGGGCAAAAATTCAAAACAGCCTCCGAACGACCATGTGGGTCACATGAATAGCTTCCCCATGACAAATAGGACTTATGAGAACTGACGGAATGTAATTCGGACCCGTAGGTTGGGAGTTAAAGTCAAATACGCCCTAAACTTAGTCGAAAAAGGGCGTTTTGGGGTCGAAAATTCAAAACAGCCCCCGAACGACCATGTGGCTCACACGGATAGCTTCACCATGACAAATAGGACTTGTGAGAACTGACGGAATATAATCCGGACCCATAGGTTAGGAGTTAGAGCAGAATACGCTCTAAACTTAGTCGAAAAAGGGCGTTTCGGGGGGCGAAAATTCAAAATAGCCTCCGACCGACTGTGTGGCTCACACGGATAGCTTCCCCATGACAAATAGGATTTATGAGAACTGACGGAATGTAATTCAAACCTATAGGTTGGGAGTTAGAGCCGAATACGCCCTAAACTTAGTCAAAAAGGGCGTTTCGGGAGCGAAAATTCAAAACAGCCTCCGAACCACCGTGTGGCTCACACAGATAGCTTCGCCATGAGAAATAGGACTTGTGAGAACTGACAGAACGTAATACGGACCCGTAAGTAGAGAGTTAGAGCCGAATACATCCAAAACTTAATCGAAAAAGGTCGTTTCGAGAGCGAAAGTTCAAAATAGCCCCCAAATGATCGTGTGGCTCACACGGATAGCTTCACCATGACAAATAGGACTTGTGAGAGCTGACGGAACGTAATTCGAACTCGTAGGTAGAGAGTTAGAGTCGAATACGTCCAAAACTTAGTCGAAAAAGGGCGTTTTGGGAGCAAAATTCAAAACAGCCCACGAACCACCATGTGGCTCACACAGACAGTTCCCTCATGACAAATAGGACTTGTGACAACTGACGAAATGTAATCTAGACTCGTAGGTGGGAGTTAGAGCCGAATACGCCCTAAACTTAGTCGAAAAAGGACGTTTCGGGGGCAAAAATTCAAAACAGCCCCCGAATTTTCACCATGACAAATAGGACTTGTGAGAACTGACGGAATGTAATTCGGACTAGTAGGTAGAGAGTTAGAGCCAAATACGTCCAAAACTTAGTTGAAAAAGGACGTTTCGGGGGCGAAAATTCAAAACACCCCCCGAACCACCGTCTGGCTCACACAAATAGCTTTGCCATGACAAATAAGACTTGTGAGAACTAACGGAACGTAATTCGGACCCGTAGGTTGGGAGTTAGAGCTGAATACGTCCAAAACGTAGTCGAAAAATGGCGTTTCGGGGACGAAAATTCAAAACAGTCCCCGAACGACCGTGTGGCTCACACGGATAGCTTCGCCTGACAAATAGGACTTATGAGAACTGATAGAATGTAATCCGGACCCGTAGGTTCGGAGTTAGAGCCGAATACACCCTAAACTTAGTCGGAAAAGGGCGTTTCAGGGGTGAAAATTCAAAACAGCTCCCGAACGACCGTGTGGCTCACACGGATAGCTTCCCCATGACAAATAGGACTCGTGAGAATTGACGGAACGTAATTCGGACCCGTAGGTAGAGATTTAGGGCCAAATACATCCAAAACTTAGTCGAAAAAGGACGTTTCAGGGGCGAAAATTCAAAACAGCCCCCGAATCACTGTGTGGCTCACACGGATAGCTTCGCCATGAAAAATAGGACTTGTGAGAACTGACAGAATGTAATTCGGACCTGTAGGTAGAGAGTTAGAACCGAATACGTCCAAAACTTAGTCAAAAAAGGGCGTTTCGGGGGGTGAAAATTCAAAACAGCCTCCGAACCACCATGTGGCTCACACGGATAGGTTTGCCATGAAAAATAGGACTTGTGAGAACTAACGGAACGTAATTCAGACCAGTAAGTTGGAAGTTAGAGCCGAATACGCCCTAAACTTAGTCGAAAAAGGGCGTTCCGAGGGCGAAAATTCAAAACAGCCTCTGAACAACTGTGTGGCTCACACGGACTGTTCCCACATGACAAATAGGACTTGTGAGAACTGACAGAACATAATTCGGACCCGTAGGTTGGGAGTTCGAGCCGAATACGCCCTAAACTTAGTCCAAAATTGGCGTTTCGGGGGCGAAAATTCAAAACAACCCCCGAATCACCGTGTGGCTCACACGGACAGTTCTCCCATGACAAATAGGACTTGTGAGAACTAACGGAACGTAATTCAGACCCGTAGGTTGGGTGTTAAAGCCGAATACGCCCTAAACTAAGTCGAAAAATGGCGTTTCGGGGGCGAAAATTCAAAACAGCCCCCGAATCACCGTGTGGCTCACACGGACAGTTCCCCTATGAAAAATAGGACTTGTGACAACTGACGGAATGTAATCTGGACCCGTACGTTGGGAGTTATAGTTGAATACGCCCTAAACTTAGTCGAAAAATGGCATTTTGGGGGCGAAAATTCAAAATAGCCCCCGAACGACCGTTTGGCTCTCATGGATAGCTTCGCCATGACAAATAAGACTTGTGAGATCTGATGGAACGTAATTTGGACCCGTAGGTTGGGAGTTAGAGCTGAATACGCCCTAAACTTACTCGAAAAAAGGCTTTCCGGGGGCAAAAATTGATAATAACCCCTGAATACGCCTTACACTTAGTTAAAAAACTTGCAACACTTAGTTCAAAAAGCAACAACTATATTAAAATAACATCTACATATTCTAATAATTGCCTTTATATATTTATAGGATAAAGAAATTACATATTACATTGTTTGTGTTGGTTGGAATAAATATTGCATGATACACATATATATATATACTTTCTTTTATTTTCAAGAAGACATTTCTCGATTGTTTACCTTAAATGCATGTTAGAACATGTTTCATATGGCTGACTGAATTGATATTTTGTAACCAATTCTAATGTTTCGTTTTTTGTTTTTCTTTGTAGATGGCTTTGTTGCGTGGACTTGTGGATAATCCATATTGGTGTATGGAGAAGAATTTTTCACTTTTCTGTAAAACTAATATAATACTTTTGTCGTCCTCAGCTTTTGTGTAGTTCATTATTTTACAGATACAGAAAACTTTTGGCAATCAAAAGATAATGACTGTCGTGGTACATAGATCACCTTCTGTCGTGGTACATATATACCATTTGTCGGTGTACATATAGGATGTTTTGTTATGGTCCATAGAAAACTTTTGTCGTGGTACATATATCACCTTTTGTTGTGGTACAGATTACGATGGTAATTTGTACCATGTCAAATGGTAATTTCACTTGGTAGTAAATGTATTTTTTGTATACGGAAGGCTTTGATTTTTGTATGATATATTTTGTATGGAATTATTATTTTAGTTTGGACAATAGTTGATTTGTATGGACATTGATATTTAATGTTATTTATTTTTGGTATATGGATGCAGATTGTGAAATGATTGATAGTATGTATCATTTTATTTATTTATGTATTACAGGTTGCATTGTATATAAACAGGTTGTAAAGAAATTATAATTTCGCGATAAAACATAATATCATGTTTTTGGCGACTAAACAATTAGTAGGTAAAAAGAAATTGGGAAAAGACATTTGGCGACTAAAAATTTTGTAAAAAAAAAAAAAAAAGAAGACATTTGGCGACTAAAAGTTTAGTAGCCAAAAGAAAATCAAACATTTGGCAACTAAAATATTTCGTAACTAAAAACAAAAAACTAAATTATAAAAACACTTTTGCCTACTAAAATTTTAGTAGCCAAAAATGTAGAATTTTAGGCGACCAAATATTTAGTAGCCAAAAGAGGAACTCTTTGGGGGTGTTTGGTGGGACTTTTTTGAGCTAACTTATGGCTTCTGACTTTTAAAAAGTTATTTTGAACTGTTTGGTTAAACTTATTTCAAATAGCTTCTGATTTTAACAACTTATTTTAAATCAAAAAAGCTAATTCTGAAAAGTTGCTCACCCATTGCTTCTGATTATTAGCTTCTACTGTGGACATATTAATTCACGGTTATACTCTTAGATTTTTTTTATTTTTTATTTTTTTAAAAATAGAAAAGGCCCAAATGGACTATAGAATATTATTATTATTATTATTATTTACAAGAAATGTAGACAAATAGTGAATAATAAAAAATAAAAGTTAATTAAAAAAGCTACTTCACAGCTTATTTAACAAGCACTACTCAGCAACTTAATCTATAATCCAATAGCTACACCAAATAGATTAACAGCTTTTGATTAAATTCATAATCTATAATCTGTTAAGTTATAATCTATAATCTGTTTTAACAGCTACACCAAACAGGACCTTTGCCGACTAAACATTTAGTAGTCAAAGATGGGGACTTTCGGCGACTAAATTTTTAGTAGCCAAAAGAGAATTCTTTGCCGACTAAAATTTTAGTAACTAAAAACATGGGACTTTAGGCGACTAAAAGTTTGGTCGTTGAAAATGGTCTAATTTAATTTAATGTCCAACCTTTTGGCGACTACTTTTGCGACCAAATAATTTAGTTGCCAAAACCATTAGACGACTAAAAATTAACTTTTGGCGACAAAATATTTAGTCGCCAAAAGTGAAAATTCTTGTAGTGAAAGGACATGCCTGTGTTATTACAGAAGTATGGAAGGACTAACTTGTTAAAAAAAATTCTGAAGTATGGGTAAGAAGTGACATTTTAGAGAGTAAGGATGATGCTGGTGTTATTTCAAAAGTATCCAAGGGGTGTTAAAGTAATTTATCCTTAAGAAAATTGTTCAATTTGAATATTGACATACTAGTAAAGATTTCATTCCAAGATCCATTGTTTGAAAGATATGATTAACTTGGTCGAAACTTAAGCAGGTTACTGTTGGACTACCTGATGTAAGAGGAAGAGAAGAAATATTAAAAGTACATAGCAAGAACAAGAAGCTAGACAAGGATGTTTCTTTCAATGTCATTGCCCTACGAACGCCAGGGTTCGGTGGTGCTGATCTAGCGAACCTTATGAACGAAGCAGCCATTCTTGCTGGTTGGAGAGGCAAATATAAGATTACATCAAAAGAGATTGATGACTCAATTGATCGGATAGTGGCATGGATGGAAGGAACCAAGATGATAGACGGGAATAGTAAGATTTTAGTGGCGTATCATGAAATTGGGCACGCCATTTGTGCGTAAGTTCATCTTACACTTGTTTTTTCAATTGCTTCATTTTTTGAGCTTGAAAATGACAAGAAAAGGGCAACTAGTTTCAAGGGAATGCCTTATGCTACCAGCAAGCCTTATTGGTGGGCCAAACCGCCCTTAAGATCAACATTGTGATCTAGTATGTTTTGCATACTTGGCTCTAACTGCAGAACATTGACTTCGGGCCATGACTTAGTACAAAAAGTCACCTTGATTCCTAGAGGCCAAGCCCATGGGCTCACATGGTTCATGCCCGGTGAAGATCCATCTCTAATCTCCAAGCAACAACTGTTTGCTAGAATAGTTGGAGGTCTGGAAGGTCGGGCAGCAGAAGTAGTAGTTTTTGGTGAATCAGAAATCACTACCGTTGCAGCAGGGGACTTGCAACAGATCACTCAGATAGCAAGACAGGTATAGTTTTTGTGAACATAATCAGAAAACTGTAAACATAAACTTTGTCAAATGGGTCCTTCGAGTTTCGCTTATGTTTTTTTCCTTTTTTTTTTTTCTTTTTTTGCAGATGGTAACTATGTTTGGAATGTCTGAGATTGGACCGTGGGTATTGACCGATCCAGCAGTGCAAAGTAGTGATCTGGTACTGAGGATGCTAGCAAGAAACTCAATGTCAAAAAAACTTGCAGAAGACATTGACACATCAGTACGCAATATTATTGACAGTGCGTACGAAATTGCTAAGACTCATGTAAGGAACAATAGAGAGGCGATGGATAAGCTAGTGGATGTGCTATTAGAGAAGGAAACCCTCACTAGGAATGAATTTAGAGCAATCCTCTCAGAATTTACTGATATCCCTTCTGCAAATATGAACAAAAAACCAATCTGAGAGCTGATTGAAGCCTAACACAACCTTTTGAGTGTACAGTCATTGAGAAAAAGTAGCGCCACCAATACAATATATGTATATAGTATCCTAGCATAGTATAAATGGAAAACTTGTCCAATATAGAAACTTGTACCAAACATAGATTATAGAAAGTATTTTACAACTGACATTTAGATTCATGTAGTACTTCACTACATTACGAGGACTTCTAGATCTCTTTCACATGTTTGATCTCATTTCCAGTGGTTTGTGGTAATGAAATCTAGTTGTCTATCATTGATAGATACATATTATACATGTAAACAGACACACAGCTAGATTAAAAAAGGAGAGAGGTGAGAAAGAAGTGGAAACAAAGAAGATGCTGAGAACATGAAACGGGAAGCTATATATAATTGTTGAACTAGTTGTTTAAGAAACTATCGACCTTTGCATTGGCTGTCCTCGACAGAAACTTCATGCAAATGGGCGGATTTACACCTGCCAACGCCAATATTGAATTGGGCAGAGTCCATATCCCATCCCCGCAAATCAAACCAGAAGCCACGGCAGGTCCAAATGCATCGGCCTTCTTCTTGTTTATCTTCTGCCAAACAAATAGTATGAAGCTTCCAACACACATATCGATAGCAAAGTATGATCCAATATAGAAGGGTATTGCCATTGCCATGGGGATAGGGATAAACTTTGCTCTCTGCTTTCCTGCAGCGTCTCTTATGGCGTTGATAACGACAGCTATAATAAAGAACACATAGCAAAGGGTGAGGCAGTTCTTTGGCAAAGCTGAGAACCCTTCAACCCCCAAGATTGCCATGTTTCGAAAGACAAGAGCATAAGGAGCGGGGTATTGTGTTCCAGTGATTCCAAGATCATGGAAAGCCTTGTAGAAGAGCCAAAACACACAAGGCGAAATGACACAACCCATTGCTGTTCCAATGACTTGGCTCACGAACATGGACCGTGGTGAAGCTAGGGTCAAGTAACCTGTTTTGAAGTCCTGCATTAGGTCAGAGGCGGTTGAGACGATGTTCATCATGACCCCACAAGCTGCTAATCCAGCTAGGACACCACCATGGGACGCTCCTGCCCATGCCCCAATTGTGAAGATTGCTAGCTTTCCATATGTGGATGCCAAGGACCAGTCAGTGAGCCCACAACCATAAGCATTGCAAAAGGCCATTGTTGGTGCAAAGACATAAATAACCACGATGTAGTACCATTTGAGTTGGTGGAAGATGTGTGGAAGCGTTGCAGTGGAGATAATGGCAATGCCAACATACCCAACAACTGCAAAACATGCTGGGATTTCGTCTTTGAGAAAGAGTTGGGTTCGACGTTGATCATCATAGGACACAGTAGGTTTTTTAGGGGGGGTAACACTGCCAGCAACTGGGAGGACACTGCCTTGGTCGTTAACACAGAATTGGCGATACAAACCGAATAGAGTAATACCAAGGACTTTGATAAAGTTGTAGAGGCCGTCACCAAGTATCATGGCTATTCCTATAAAGATCTGTAGCAAATCAAGGATAAAAATTAAAAGGGTTAATTTAAAAACACAGGTTTAATTAACTCGGTCTGGATTTAGAAAAAGGAAAGGAAGTGACCTACCCTATAACCTTGCAGGCCACGAAGGCTTGATTGGCTAAGGTCTGCAGGTTGCCACCAATGGCCCCTTTGGTTATTTATAAGTGGCCACATTATACCCCACGAAAGGATTGCTCCAAGTAGCAAAGATACGTTGATTAGGTGTGGACAGATCATCCCAACGCCGACATAAGTTGCAGAGAAATCAAAGTAAAACCTAGGTTTTCAACAAAAAAAAAAAACCAAAGATCAATGCTTTGAATGTGAAAGAAGAAGTAAATTAATTTTGTATTGTGTCATTATAATCAAAGTTGTACCTGTTTTCAAAGGCTTTGAGACCAAATGTGGGGAAGCTTGAAAATCCACAATAATCCCCTGCAGTGAAGAACCATTGGAAGAAGCCCCACAAGAAGCTGAAAGAGAAGAACTTTCCCAGAGCTCTGACTTGTTTCCTAGAATGAAAATTGATGATGAGAAGATGCAACGAGAGAATCAAATTCAACTTGCTTTGATCAATTTTGTTCATTTCTTACGGCTGAATGATGAAGCAAATTTGATGAAGGACTTACTTTGCTAGCTGGGCTCCTTGAGGAGTGTGGAAGCTGTTGATAAGGTAAGCAGTTGCAGTCCCACTTGGATAAATCAGTTTGAAGTCTAAGATCATTATCTGAAACAGATTGCATATGTGAGTTTTACAAGAAAGGTGACAAAGAAAACATGGAGATTTGCTTCCATTGCCCATGCTTGTTTGGTAGAAGAGAGGTCCCTACTAGCCGGCATGAGATTGTCTGTCCCTAAACTCTCCGTCTCCATCTCTAATTAATGCACTCACAGTGTGTAATTGTATCTTGAGATTCCAGTATTTTGAAAATGTAGTAGAGACGAAGGAACATAAATTTTAAGGACAAAAGATCTTGACCCTACTAGCAACGGTTTATAAACACAACTTTCTGTTTTCCACCTAGTCCAAAATTTTGATAGGGTAAATTATGTCGATTACCTGCAAGGTTTGAAAAAACCATATAATATGTCTCATAAATCTTAATTACACTCACTTCTTTTTAGTAAGGTTAAAGCAAACAGAATTAATGCAAGTAATAGATTGAGGAAAAATCAAGGGTAAAAATACATCAATTTAAAAGAGATGATAATAATATTTTCATCCACACGACTTAAGAAATGATGGATAGTGTTATTTGAAATAAACATTATGAAAACATAGGTAGTTATGTCAACTTTGTGAAGCTTGATGTATTTTTTACAACCTTGAGAAATATTAGTGTAATTGACCCATATTTTGATATAACATGTTTAAAAGGCCAAAAAAAAAAAAATTCATATACACATCAAGATAATGAGTTTAGGAATATATGCATGTACCTTTCGAAGAGGCACTACAGAAAAAAGTCCAAGAAAGCTAACAATAAAAAGAAATCCAATCATCCAACCCACAGCTGGGTTCTTTATATTCTGTGCATCATCAGCTTCAGTTGACTGTTTGGCAATTTTTTCACTCATGCCAAAAAGGTAACTCCCAAAGCCTCCTGCTTGTTTCAAATTTCAAGAAAAATAATACGTTAACAGTTTGATGTTGGAAGCTGATCCATGAACAGATACAGATATGGACACATATACAGTATTAATTAAACATGAAAAAATTATTCAATTTATAATTTAAACATTATCCTACACACAAAATGCTATTTTTGTCAATCATAAATCATTACATCACAAATGTCAAAAATATTTAAGTTAATAATGAAATGAATATATTATCCACCAAAAACACAAAATAATCACAAGTTAAATGTGTTATAAAAAATTCGTTACCTACAAATGTGTGAGTGTGAAAGTTTGGGCACATTATTGTTGGAAGTAAGTTTTACATATTGATTATATTTATCTTTATTCTTGAGAGTCAGAGGAACAAATAAATTAAAAATTAAAATAATTCACTACAAGCCACCTTTCTCCTCCCTTCCCCACTTCCTCACCCGGTCCCCTTCCTCTCTCCTTTCCACCCGACCATGCCACCTACTCCCTAACTCTCTCTTGCCATTGGGGAGGGAAGGGATTGGGTGGTGCCACGGATGAGTAAGGAGTGAGCGACAGCGTAGAAAACACAAATAAAATTCACATAAACATGAGACAAAGGGATCAACTCTTATGTGCATGTCAGAACACAAGGATTATTGTTTATCACCCGATATGAACATAGCACAAAAGTACGCTAAAAGTCTAATGATTATACCGTGTGAAAGCAAAATAATGGAGTCAAAGTTTGGCCATCCACCTTACTTCATAATTTATAAATTTCTAAAAATTATTTAGGTGTCGTTTGGCAACACTTACGTTTTCAATTTTCTGTTTATATTTACAAAAATTTTAAAAACTCAAATAAAAATTAGTTTGGTAAATTTTTTATTTATAAATTAGTGGTCTCAGTTTATAAATTTGACCAAAAAATGTAAATTCAAAAAATGTGTTTCCGTTTTGAGTTTTTAATTTTTTTTTTTTTACCACCCAACACTAACACTCTTCAATTGGCCCTGTTCCTAATTCAAAGCTTGACATGTGAAACAAAAAGTCAAGCAAACCAAACCAGAATTTCTAACTCAGATTTTGTAATCACTGTTATATATTTTGACCTTGTTATTGTGGCACCACAGTATGAGTAAATCCCAGACTTTGATTACAAATTCTGGGCACTTTTTTGGATTTTTGAAACTACTGCATATGATATTGAGAACTTCAACAAATATTGAGATATGTTGAAATTGAAATAGCTTGAACTACTACCACCCGCCACCACCCGTCATCCACCACCCACCTGCCACCACTATCCACCCACCCGTCACCACTTTCCACCACCGTCTTCCGCCCCCACCACCCGCCACTTGCGACCACTTTCCTTCCGCCACCGCCACCACTACCACCCACCCACCCGCCACTTGCCACCACTTTTCACACCGTCTTCTGTCATCATCACCCACCACCTGCCACCATCTTCCACCACCGTCTTCCGCCACCACCACCCGCTATCATTTTCCTCTTCTGCCGCCACCACTCGTCACCACCCACCACCCGTCACCACTTGCCATTTATTACTCTTTTTTATATTTTTAATTTTTTTTAAACATTTTGTCTAAACCAAATGCGTTTGTAGTTTATGTTTTTCTAAAAATAAACAAAAATTAGTTTATAAAGTTTTTGTATATATAAACTGAAAACATAAACGTTATCAAACAGACATTACCATCTTGTTTTCTAGTCATAAATAAATAACGTAAAGACACCTACTAAAGTGTTCTAATCAATAATTTCAGTCCATTTTATAGTAATAAGACCCACGTTTCTTCCATGATTGAGTCAGGAATATTAAAGTATTTTTTTATTTGAAAGCAATGCAATCAATTTACTTTTGTTTTAACTATTATTAAAATTAGAAACATTTAGACACAAATCTTAATTTATAAATTTATATTTCATTAACTAACATTTTTAAAATTTTCAAGTCTTACTAAATTTTTAACAATCGAAATCACCCTTCAAACAATGATTGTTCATCATTTATAATTATCCATAAAAGAACATGATAATTTGACATTTACTTTAATTTTTAAAATTTTAAAATATCAACTTTTAAATAGAAAAAACTAAAAAAAAAAATTATGTGCAAAAAAAATGTTTTTTTTTTTGAAAAAATTGAATTATTTCTTTGTGCAAAACTGAAAATTTTGTGTCTATAAAAGAGTATGACGATAGAACATTGACGTGCAAAAAAATTTTTAAAAAAAAAACTTTAAAAATAAAAAAACTGATAATGTTTACAATTTTAAAACTGAAAAAAATTAATAATATTATTAGTTTATTCAATAAAAGCTATCACCATGGCCTATTTTGGCAACTAAGAAAAAAATCATTTTATTGACTTATTTAAATTATAAGTTTGTTTTGAGAAGTAGATTAAAAATTAATTTTTAATTTAAAAAAAAAAATTGTATAAAAAAAAATGATGTAATCCAAAACAAATTAAAAACAAAAAAGTAACTTTTAATTAAGTTTCCAAAACAGTCTATGTTATTATTTTTAATTTTTTCACATTTTTTAAAAAAATTAAAAAATAACCAAAATAGCCATGCATCTGTAGTCACACTAAAGATGGCAACGGCGACCAACTTGAATTGAATTCGTAGGCATGAAGAAGATGGCAAGAACGACCAACTTGAATTGAATTCATCGGCATGAATGATTAGACCACCGCCACCAACTGCCGCTAATTTTTTTCATTAATTTATTCATAGTTTATACGTGGTAAAATTATATTGGAGTATCGGTAATCTTCGGTTTCGCCAGCAACTTGATATTTTATTTTTTATTTTTTAAAGTGGAGCAGTTTGCCTACTGTTCGAGATCGGATTGGACGATACTGTTTCATTCGTGAAGTTCATCACGAATCTTATTTTGATAATTTAGAACTCATCAAATATTTTATATTTGTAAAAAAATTACGTTGATCAGATATTGATAGTTATTTCATCGGATCTCTTTTTTTGTCAACCGTTAATTAGTTCACCGTCTTTTTTTTTATAGAAAACTGATTTGATCACATAACTATTGATATCTGATTAATATGATATTTGTTAGGTATATAGTACTCGACGAATTCTACACATTGACAGTTCAGATTATCAAAACGAGATCCATGGTGAACCCCCACAGGCCGAATAGTACCGTCCAATCCGATCTCGGACTGGAGTCAAGCTGCTTCCTTTTTAAAAACCTTATTCTGTTACTTCATTTTTTTTTTCTTTATAGGGCAAATTACACAAATAGTCCCTATAGTTTGAGGCTTGTGTCACTTTGATCCCTGACTTTTCAATTGTGACACATTTGACCCTAAATTTTGAATCTTGTTCCAAATAAGGACAATTGAATATATAATTAGATTTTTCAAGGATAAAATTATCAATTTGATAAAATATAAACTAATTTGACAAAAATAAATGTCAAACAAATATTTTTGAATTTTAAAAAATTATTTCTACCTACTAAAAATAAAATTATGTAAAATTGATAAATCTTTTAGACATTTATTTATTTTTTTTACCAAATTAATTTTTATTATGTATTTGGATGATCATGTAAAATTAATTTTAAAAAATTAATCATGTAATTTTTATTAATTTTACATAATTTTATCATTGGTGGATAAAAATAATTTTAAAAAAATTAAAAAATATTTTTTTGATATTTATTTTTGTCAAATTAGTTTATATTTTATCAAATTGACGATTTTACCCTTGAAAAATCTAATGATATTTTCAATTGTCCTTATTTTGAACAAAATTCAAAATTCAGGGTCAAATGTGTCACAATTGAAAAGTCAGGGACCAAAATGACACAAGTCCCAAACTATAGAGACTATTAGTGTAATTAACCCTTCTTTATATAGTGAATCTCCATTATCACATATAGCCTTTGTTTGGATTGATTTTTTGATTTTTTGATTTTTTAACTTTTTAATTTGTTTGTGTTAATCTAAAAAAGTACACTTTTTTTTTATATATAAATACACGTATTTAGGTCACATCAATCAACATATATTAATATCCAGCGCTGATTGAGGGCCCGAGACTTCGGGGCTCGAATGCCCCGAAATGCCATTTTAGGTAAAAAAAAAAAAAAAAAGGAAAAAAGAAAGAAAAAAAAAAACAGTTTTCAAAAATGGAAATTAGGGGTATTAGGGCCAACTTTTTTAGGGCCACCAATCATTTTCCATTAATATCTATCAACAACTCCACTCTATTTTTCTAACCACTTTCTTTACTTTTCTATACATTTTTTTTTATAAAAAGTCAAAAAATACACTTATTTAGGACACCCCAAACAATCCTTTAGTCTGATACTAAAAAGTCTCGTTTGAAATAAGCTTTTTGACTTTTTTAATTTCTGTGAGATAAAAAATAAAATAATTATGATTTGAATGTGATATTTTATCTTATTAAATTAAAAAGTGTATTTAGTCTTTTTGTGACTAAAATAGCCAAAATTTAACCCAAACCTTTATGCCAAACGAATCTATAAAAGGTTTTAAGAACTAAACTTTTGTTTGTAAAAATTTTAGTACAAAAACTATTAACAGATTAATTTTTATAATTACGAGTCTTTTGTAAAAGGTCATTTTCAAAGTCAAAAAAATAACATTTTCGTGCCAAAAAAGTATTATTTTTGTAGACGAAATGATAATAATTTATCATTAATATCAAAATTTATTATTAAAAATATAATAACGATATTTTAAAAAAATATTTGAATATTAAAAAGTAAAATCATTCCTATAATTTTATATATAAAATCTTGATTTGTTGTAATAAGTTATTAAATTAATGGACCAAGTTTTAGATGCTTGTTATCAATGTACTAATATAAGACATGAAAGAGTTTATTAAAGTTCCGTTTATTTCAATGAAAAATTTTGCGAACCAAATGTATTTTACAATTATTTTTCTTCCATTTTCAATTATAATTTTTTAAAAAAGTGATGATGTTAATAGCGTGAGTGGTGGGGGTGGGGAGGTGCAGATTCAATTCAATCAAATCCAATCTATTGGCTCTGTTTGGTAGAGCGATGGGAAAGTGGTTATAACTTTTAGCCTAACAGTTTATACCTTATAGCTGTGAATATAAGCTGATTTTTTACTTATAAATTAAGCTTCTCCTCCCCCACTCAAAAAATAAGTTGATTTTTGACTTACAAAAACTTATAAGCTGTATTGTTAAGTTGAATCAAACACATCAAAATAACTTAAATTAAACTAAAAGAAGTGATGGGAAAGTGGTTATAACTTTTAGTCTAACAGCTTATACCTTATAGCTGTGAACATAAGCTGATTTTTTACTTATAAATTAAGTTTCTCCTCCCCAATCAAAAAATAAGTTGATTTTTAACTTACAAAAATTTATAAGTTGTATTGTTAAGTTGAACCAAACACATCAAAATAACTTAAATTAAATTAAAAACTGAAATAAACTGAAAATAAATCCTACCAAACAGGGTCATTGACAAACTAAAAGGTAATATGGAGTGGAATTGATTTTTCTAGATTCGTTTAAAAAAAATATAAATTAATTCAAATATTCAGTGATAAAAAAAAAAGAAACAAAAAAGAAGGTAAAATATATGGTTACCTAACTTCAAAGAAGAATTAGTGGATTACTTTTTAATTTTAGGCAAATTACAAACACCCTCGAGATTTAGTGAAAATATAATTTTTTTCCTGAAGTTTGAGAAATTACATTCCGTCTCCTGAAGTTTATATTTTCATAACAAATTGTCTCTTGAGGTTTTTATTTTCATACAAATTCTCTCTAATTTTTTTTTAATTTGTTATGAAAATTTGATCAACAAGAGATAATTTATAATTTCTCAAACCTCATGAGGAAATTTATATTTTTACCAAACCTTGAAAGGTGTTTGTAATTTGTCCTTAATTTTCTAACAACCGTGATTCCTACCCCCACTGGGGTCAACCCCTAGTGACGTGGCGCAGCGTCATTCGTCAATATTTTTTTTTTTTTTCTTTTCTGACGCAGCGTATTCGTCAATTTTTTTTTTTTTTTCTTTTCTTTCAATCACCCACAGCCACGTGGACGGGGAGAGTCACTGGGAGGTCGGCAATTACTGGGGGTCTGCCGCATTTTCGATTTTTTAATTCTACCAGCAATTGATGACCGATCTTCACGTGGTCCCAGGACCTTCGGCTCATCTTACGGCTCAGTCCACAGTCAACCCATAACCCACTTCACACTACACTACAACTTGGGCACGCTCAAAATTCTACACTACCAGTCATTCCTATCAAATCGACGGTGGCAAAGCAAACACATGCAAAACATAGGACTGTTTTGGCAACCTACTTATATATATATATATAAAAAAAAAAGAAGTTACAAATCAATTTTTTAACAATAATATTAGAGGGTCGCAATTTTTGTGGTCACAATGACTTAAGATTGTCAAAGCCATTGTGATCACAAAAATTGTGACCCTCAAATATTTTTTATTTTTTAATTTATTTTGAATTGCATCACTTTTTACATAAAATAGTCAAAAAAAAAATTTAAAAATCAAAAAATTAATTTTTAACCATTTTCTCACTACATAAATAATCAAAAAATTAAAAAAAATCAATTTTTAACTATTTTTTCAAAACACCCATAACAGCAGAACTTTTTCAAGTTTAAATAAAAATTTGAGAGGTTTGTAGCTTTCACAATTACGGTTTGTTTCGATTATTTGAACTATTATTTTGTAAAGCTTTACTTGTATTTTATTTATAAAAGAAAATATTAAGTGATTTAATAATATCTTTTTATTTTATTGTATTTGTTTAAAAAAAATAAATAATCTATTTTAAAAAATATATTTGCCATCTTCATCGATAATTTTAAAATTATTGGATTGATTTTTATTTTTATTTTTATTTTTATATATGATAAGAACTCTGCAAATTTACTGATATAAACTTGAGATAAGCCCAACCAAACACAAACAAAAGCATCCAGGGAAACGGAGAACAACAAAAAAAATTTAAAAATGTATAATTTAAAAATTTTAAAGGGTGAAATGATAAAAGGGTGTCATTCATCATTTTCACAACTTCAAAAAGTCAGTAAAATTTTATAATTAAAAAATCCAAAAAAATTTGAAGGAGCAAAGTGAAAACATATGAGAAATAATAATAATAAGAATAATAACATACCGCTGAAGGCGATGCCGGAGGCGGCAACGACGCAGGTCTGGATGACGGTGTTCTCTTGGCGGGTGAATGGTTGGCGGAGGAGTCCGGACTTTTGGAGAAACTTGGTCCAGGTCTTGACGAAGAAGAAGCCTAAGAGCCCCGCCGACACGTTCAGAGAAGGTATAATACCAGTGGTGAGATTCAGCTTCATGACTATGAAGGTGAACATCACCGACAAGAAGAAGCTCACCACGAACGCCCTAACCGTCAGCTGGCTCTTCCACGACGGCACTTCCTTGTTCTCGAATATTCTCTCTATCGACTCACTCTCCTCTTCCTCCTCCGCCGCATCTTCTCTCTCCTCCTTAATCATCTCTTTTTTGTCGTCGTGAGAGTAGTCTCCGTCGGTGGCGGTGCCATTCGCCTCGCCGTTTTCCGATTTTCTGTTGTTGATGCTGGATCTCTCCATTCTAGGATTCTCCTCCGTGAATGGTGGTGGTGCTGAGTGTCCCAATTGTGTGGATCTGTGTGAGTGGGAGTGGGTTTGCAATTCCAAATGATTTATCTCTCTCTCTCTCTCCCTCCCTCCCCCCCTCTCTCTGCCCTTTAATATTGTGAAATGGGGGTGTCGTTATCGAATGTGGAGTGCTGCTGCCGATATACATACAGATGCAGAAATTGACTTGATATGGACACGGAATATACAATGAATTTTTATAATAAATATAAGGGTAAATTATATTGATATCTTTTTAAGTTTAGTTAAATTATAGCCTATTTTGACAACATGTTTGTAGTCATTTTTTTTGTTAGTAGGAAAAGTCAAAAGTTAATTTTTTTGTTTTTTTTTTCATTTGGGATGTTGGTTTTTAGCCAACGGTAAAATTATAATTTTACCCCTCATGGGTCAAAATGTATTACATAGGTGAAATTATAAATATTTTAAATAAATGGGGGTAGTTTGGTCATTTTATTATGATTTGACATCATAAACAAACATTAATCAAAAAAGTCAAAGTCACTTTTTACCAACTTCCCAAATCATTTGTCTAAAAAAGCCAAAAGCTTAGTTAAAAGCTAAAAAGTCACTTTTTACCATCTTCCCAAAACAAAATATAAGGGTAAATTATATTGATATCTTTTTAAGTTTAGTTAAATTATAGCCTATTTTGACAACATGTTTGTAGTCATTTTTTTTGTTAGTAGGAAAAGTCAAAAGTTAATTTTTTTGTTTTTTTTTTCATTTGGGATGTTGGTTTTTAGCCAACGGTAAAATTATAATTTTACCCCTCATGGGTCAAAATGTGTTACATAGGTGAAATTGTAAATATTTTAAATAAATGGGGATAGTTTGGTCATTTTATTATGATTTGATATCATAAACAAACATTAATCAAAAAAGTCAAAGTCACTTTTTACCAACTTCCCAAATCATTTGTCTACAAAAGCCAAAACCTTAGTTAAAAGCTAAAAAGTCACTTTTTACCATCTTTCCAAAACAACCCTATATCTTATTAAATTTTTACTCTCTGTTTAATAGGCTTATTTTACAAATATCTGCTTATATAAGAAATAATAATTTCTAATAGAAAAAAAGAAAAAATTATATTAAAAAAAAAACAAAAGAAACAAGAAAAAAAAAATAAAGAAAGTAAAACAAATCAAGAAAAGAGAGTCTATAAATTCAATATTCTTATTCTGTCTAAATAATTACAATAACTGGAGGTTAGTATATTTTTCTAAACGTTAGGAGGTCATATATATTAAATCCAAATTTCAAAAGAGTAAGTGTAAGTGTAATTTATACTAAATATAATAATAATAACTCCTCTTCCATCTAAAAACGGACTAGACGTTGTTGTCCTTGTTGGTGGGCTCGAGTCCAAATTCATTTCAATAATTCAAACTATTTAATTTGTAAGGTTCCTAAAATATATCATTTTTACTTTATATTGTTTGTCAGGAGAGTAGGGGGGAAATTAAGAGAATGAAACATTTTTTCCACATATAATGGTTATACAATAACAAAATATACGATGGCTTTTTTTGGATTAATTTTAAAATTTTACCAAATACTACATTTTATTCTCTTAATTTTTTCCCTGACTCTCCTAGCAAACAATATCAAGTAGTTAACTCTTTTTAAATTCTTTTATTTCTTTTTAAAATTATTTGTCACATTATTGTGAAGTGTTCGGGGAAAAAAAGTCACATTATTGTTAAGATTGCTCATTATGTGGCCTGTGGTTATAGATTTATCAATTTAGGATGTGTTTGTTTTGAGGGATTACAGGGTGGGATTAGACTATTAGTCTCATCGGACTAATAGTCTATTATTTGTTTTATTTTTTTTACTCCGAACTAATAGTCTCCCGGACTATTAGTCCTACAAATATAAGACTATCCTATCCCATGGGAGAGGGTGGGATACAAACTATGGGATTGGTATCCCATGGGATTATTTTGTGAAATGTCCATTTTACCCTCCATGCTATTACTTAGCAAACAATTAGAAAAGGACAAAATAGTCTTTTGAACATTTATAAATTATTTTTTTAGTGTTGTTAATTTAAAATTATATATTAAATAAAAAATTTAATTATAAATTAAATTTAATTAAAAATAATAAATTATAAATTATGGCCTTATAAATTAAATTTTTTTAGTGTTGTTAAAAAATTAAATTTACATATTAAATTAAATTATTTTTTTAGTGTTGTTAATTTAAAATTATATATTAAATAAAAAATATAAATTATAAATTTAATTTAATTTAATTGAAAATAATAAATTAAAATATTGTGCAAAAAAATAAAATAAAACAAATTTTTATTTAATCTAGTTAAAAATAATTAAAATATTAAAGTTATGTTTAATATTACTATTACTTAGTAAATAATTGAAAAGGATAAAATAGTTATTTGAGCATTTATCTTTCTTCATAATATCCCAAACAAACATTGGATAACTAAAAATAGTCCAATTCAGACATCTAATCCCATGACTAAACAAACATAAGATACAAATTTAGTCTAACCAAATAGTCCCGGGACAATGTATCCCAGGACTAATAGTCCGATGGATTACAATCCCCTCTTATCCAATCCGTCTAAACAAACGCACCCTTAGTATAATTATTATTAGCCACAGCTTTTATTTTTTTAGTCCAAAATTACATTGGACGGTATTATTCTGCCATGGTAGGCCTAATTTTGAACTAAAAAAATAAAAGCTGTGGCTAATAATAATTATACTAAGGGTGCGTTTAGGCCTAATTTTGGACTAAGCTTGATGATTCAAATCGTTAATGTGTAGAGTTCGTCAAGTATATCATCCTTATTAAAAAATCACATTGATCGGATATCGATAACCATTTGATCAACTCACATTTGTTTCAATGACAATTATGATTTTAAAAATAAATAGCATATACAAATGTAAGCTGATTAAGTGACTATCAATATCTGATTAAAGTGATTTTTTGTAAAAATAATACAACTTACAAACTCTACACATTAAATAACTTGGGTTATCGGAATGAATCTGGAATGAAGCCCACTGCGACCCAACAACAACATCTAGTTTGTTTTTAGAAGGAAGAGGAATTAGACATATTATTATTATATTTAGTGTAAATTACACTTACACCCCCTTGAAGTTTGGCTTTAATACATATCACTCTCTGACATTTGAAAAATTACACTAACCTTTCTATTATTATAATTATTTAGACTGAATGAAGATATTGAATTTATGGACTCTCTTTTCTTACTTTGTTTTATTCTCTCTGTTTTTTTTTGTTCTTTCTTTGCTTTACTTTTTTTTTTTTTTTTGGGAAGCATGACTTAAAGAGGGAAATGTTTGTCTTGTCAATTATAATAGCATAATTTTAAGGAAGTAATGTAATAATGTTATGACAAATTAAAGTGTTTTAAACTTTATTTAAGAAAATATAAAATTATTTATAGACCAATCAAATTACAATAAATTATTAATAAATAATAAATAAAATAAAATAAAAATGAAAAAAATTTGAACTTTTCAATTGTGATAACTCTACAATATTTTGCTTATTTTGAAAAATTATTGATCTATTTAAGGATGTCCTGTAATTATATTTTTTACTAGTCATAATTTATTATATTCCTTTAAAATTTTTAATTATTCAACACAAATTTATCAATTACAATATCGCTATGGTATAATGTTATGTTACGATATATGGCCCCGTTTGTTTGAAGAGTTAGAGGGGGGATTGAGATTGGTAGTGAGGTGGGACCTACTAACATTGTGTTTGTTTTGAGAGATGAGAAATGGATTGATAGTGAGCTTTAGATTCTGATGGGTCTCTCCAAGGAGATTCGGATGAGCTTCCAAGACTTGGTATTAGAAAAATAGTCCGCCGGACTAGAAATTTTTTATTTTATTTTTCACATGTTGTGAATTTTTTTTTTGAACATTAATGTATTATTTTTTATATTTTTTGTTAAGTAAAAATTATTATTTTATTTGTTTTATTTTTTTTGGAATTTTTTTATTTTTTTTAAATTTTTTTACATGTTGGGCATTTTTTTGAAACATTAATGTTTAATGTTTTCATATTTTTTTATTTGTTTTATTATTTTATATTTATTTGATATAAAAATAATTTAACAATCTCTACACTAATAATTATTATCAAAATAAATATAATTTTATTTAATACCCTTACTAACAATTCCTTCACTACTAATCCCTTTATTCTAATTCTGAAAACAAACAAGTCTCTCAAATCAACTAATAACTTCGCATAAATATTTTGTGGACACATGAAGGTGTCTCCCCACAGTGTATGACTATTTCATTCACCCAGTCAAACACCATCCTCTCTCCAAAAACAACCGAGTCTCTCAAATCAAGTAATAACTTGGCATAAATATTTTGTGGACACGCCATCCATTACCGTCTCTATCCGAAAAGCATTCAGACCGAATCACATGGCCAAACATACAAAGGGCCTTTTCAGAGGTAGGCTTTCCAATTTTTAGTTGATTTTGAACTTGTGGTAACCGTGCTATCCACCAGATTTTATAAATTATAAAAATAAATTATTATAATTATTTTAAAATAATTTAATATTTTACCTTGTAATGTACATATAATTTATAAATTAACTTTTATATTTATAACTTTTTAAATTATTAATTTAAAATATATATATATAAAAATTTATTTAGTGCAATTTTGATAATTTATATTAAAAAAAAGTTAAATCTTATTAAATGTGATTAAATGAGTTATGACATATTTCTTCTTGTTATGAAAATATATAAATTTAAAAGTTATAATTAAGACAAATATACAATTTTATTATTAAATGTGAAGTGAAGTGATATTTAACAATAATTAATATGATGTTTCTATTATTAATCCAATAATTTAAGTTACATTTCAATATGAATATAATACACACATAAATTTGTAGTCTTTAATAATAAGAAGGTTTCAAAATATTTTTAAACTTTCATTATTTTCTTTTAATTTTTTTTTATCTAATTTGATTTTAAATTTGAATAAAAATTTTGATTTGATATGAATTACTTTAACTTTTTCATTAAATT